TGTGACGCAGTGGTATGCCCCCGCATGCCCCAGCTCTCGGTTGGGCACTACAAGGGTCAGAAAGCGGCACAAGGACCTTGGGGTCATTGAAACTGATGGGCTCATTCTGCAGAAGCTCATTAAGGTGGAGGGATTCACCCGAGTTCCACAAAGAAGGCAGAAGCCCACTGTTGCCACACCTGATGGGGAGTAGCCTTTACCTGGGAGTTCCTCCCAGCCAACTGGAAGGGAAAAAGTCATTCTCAGACTTGTTCCACCTCAGCCCGTAGCTCACTTCCTACACTCATTCCCACTTCCGCTGGAAGAACAAAGGATTGAAGATGAATGCAACGTTCAACATGATAAAAATATGACAATTAAACGCGCCAAATAATCAACAGAAGTAAAATGTTAATTAAGATAAGAATAACAGCAGTTGAATAACACAGCCAATTCAACTCTGGTGGGACACCCAAAGCAAAGTGTTCTTTGCCCAGCTTGCAAAATCCTGACTGTCTGCATGGGCGCAGTCACAAGCTTTGTAGGGTTGCCAGGCATCGCCTTGGCAGCCAGACATCTTAACAGAATAATGAATTTGAGTCCTCAGGAAACTAGGTAAAACATCAATTTTGGTTCATTAATAACACATTTTAGTAAGCTCTACTGACATACTATGTACTTTACTGATTGGTAAATAGCCCTTAATTGTATGTGAAAATGAAAATCCATGATATTCTGCCATTTGCCTATAAGAATTGAAGAAAAGACATCCTGGAGTGTTCAGATTAGTCTGGAACCATCAGGCAGAGTCCTGTGGCCCACCAGTGGCTTTCAGACGTAGAGGAACACTGATCTAAAACCAGCATCAGAGCTGGGACAGATGTGTGTCCGCAGTGGACATGAGATGTGCACTTAGGGAGACATTTCCAAGAGGAACCACATGTGGACACATAAGAAACAATAAGAGGTGTGCCACTCCTGCCGATGGTCAGCTCGCAGAGGCCCACAGGGGAACTTCTCAGCCAGGTTTCTGGAAAGTGCTGGGAGGGAGAGGGAGGCTCCAGGATCTCCTTGTCTGAAAATCTCTGAGAACAGCCAGCCTGGCCTCCCAGAAGCTTTAACAGTGACTTGGCCTGAGGGGAGGAGGCGGGCCCCACCCCCCCACAAGCCTTTTCTGGATCTGTAATTGCATGATTCATGCTTCATCCCCTTCGATGTCCCTACGCCTTTCCTGTTCTCCACAAAAACCTGCCTGTAACAGGCCTTGCCGAGATGCTGGCAAACAGACGTGTCTGGGCCCCGGCTGGGACAGGCGCTGAAGAGATCCACCTGACAGTGGTTGTGACGTCCTCTCTGGCTGTTTAAAAATCAGAGTGGTTAAACTCTCGGTCCTGGAGGCAAAACAGATACGGATTCAAATTCTAGTCCTGCCACTAACTCTGTGCCCTCTCTAAGCCTCAGTTTCCTCATCTGTAAATTGGAGATACCACCTCAAAGGGCTGAGGCAAGAACTCACACTGATATAAGGCAGGAACTTAGCCTACAACTGGCAAGACAGGGAGTGCCAAGAGCCCATAGTGATTGTCATTGTCCTTAGCTGGTGACCTCCCGTGGGTGCTCAGTGCTCAGGTCTGACAAATCCAACCTCTTCCATGACACCTCTCCAATGACCAAGTCAAAGTACCTCTCCAATGACCAAAATTCTCCTTTTCTGAACTGCAGTGCTCATGCCAGCACTTAAACACGCACCTCTCTGTTCTGTTATATAAATGCCTCACACTGTTCCCCATTCCTCACACTAGCTTGTCAGCTCCTGGAAAGCCTGGCTTTGCTTTATATTGACTCTGTTTCACCACAGTGCCTTCCCCCACTATGTCCAGGTTCAAATGGTTCGTATACACCATAAATAAACAAATAGTTGTTGGATATATAAATGAGTGAGATGTACACATCTAATTTTTTCAGGTATACACACATTTGGAATTAATGATGTGGAGAGACAAGTAATGAGAAATGACGAGATGTGGGGTCTCACCCTGTTCTCTGCCTGTGAATCACTGTGCAGCCTTAGGCTGGGGGTCTATAAAAAACAGCAACTACCACCTGCTGCCTGCCCAGGACTAGTGAAGACAGATGAGGCTTTTCTGCAGCAATGGTGAGACCCCACCAGCTCCTTGATGTTAAGTAAGGAAGAGCATCTGGGTTCTGATGGTAACAAATGGATCTCATTCTCTTTGAGCATTTCCCAGCTCCTATTGCACAAAACAAGGAAATAAAACAGGCCTCAGCTCTTTTAAATCTGATTTCCAGAGAAATCCTTCCTTAGTAACTCATTCATGGTGCCAGGAAATTTTTCAAAAGGCTAATCTAAATTCCTTCTCTCCCTTTAAGCTCCCTTTCCTTCGTCCACCACCAAATGAGATGGACCACGGACCACAGCTCTGCCCACCATGATACAATAATGATCTTTACTCTGAAAAATCTTTATTTTTCTCTGCTTCCCAGTAGTTGATTTAGACTAGAGGTGACCTTCCCCTCTCCATCAATAGTCACATCAATTCTTTTTCTTTCTTTTCCATTCTTCCTCCTCTTCTTTCTCAGTCTCCTAAACCTTTGGCCTCCCAGCAGCGCCCACGTCTGGGAGGCAGTGCCCACAGCATTGCCTAGACCTGTAGAAGCCACCTCAAGTTAAAGATGCTTTGACAGCTGGTTTAGGCCAAGGCCTAGTGCACCAGCACCATGATCAGAATCGGAAGGACCTATCCCTGTTTGCAACACTGATTCACTATGAGCTTGATCAAGGTTAGGTGAGCTTTTTTGAGATGCAGGGACAATCACTCCCATGGCACATCTGTGATAAGGGTTCCTCACCTTTCTAATGGTAATTATAGTGTGGTTAATACTAACACTACTTATGACCTTGGAAAAATGTTGAGCTCCCAAGGGAAAAGGTACCAAGTTAGTATAAGGTGGTGAAATTTCAGAATGCAGGAACTATGTCCCTCAGGAAAACAGGGCAGAGAAAACAAACACGAACATGGTCCAAGACAATGGTTTTCAAATGTGTTAGCAGCAGAGACCTGTCTTCAAACAAAACATCCAGTGGACTCCTACTCCCAAATCTGATGAAAGTGGAGCTGCTCTGGTTCGAAGGCAGGTAGGGTGGTGGTGGTATGGAGCCAGAGCCCACCCTTCCTCCTCTTCACCCATTTCTTTCCCCTCCTGAAGTGGGGGTCCCTGTAGAATCCACAAGAAGCCCCTAGGCTTCCATGGGGCAGTCTGAAAACTACCAGTGAAAGAGGGACACAGAAAGAACCTGAATTTACATAATACAGTGAGGGGATGGCAACTCAACTTCAGGGCCTTGTAGGACCATGTGGCCAACATACTTGGATATCCACGGTCCCATTGCTTCTGCCTTTCTAGTCTATCTACATGTTTCTTAGCCTTGATTTTCATGTACATACACTTTACCATAATTAGTAAATTTTTATAATGCATCTCAAAATCTTTCTGGAAGAAGTTGGTGTCTGGATATGTACACACAGTTCTAGGAAGAGAGAGGCTAGCACGTTGTACCATGACAAGACATTCATAGGGTTTGGCTTGACTTGCTATATGACCCACCATTCTGAAAGGTGCTTTGGTATTTTACTGTGTTTTATACACGCTGGCTTGAAGCAATCCAAATGAAAACTCGATACTCTCTAAAATGTACTCCAAGATTCTTAAGAAGAGCCTTAGAAATAGAGCTTTACTCTAAGAAGAGTACACTCTCCTTTGAACAATGAAAGGTATTCTTAATACATTTATAAGACATCATTAAACACGGATGGTCTAATTAGTCCCTTTACTTCTCCTAGTACGTTTATTAGGAAGAGTGGCAATGATAAGAAGTACTTTTCTAAGTGAGATTTTTGTGGACATGTAAATTATAAAACAGCCTGCTGACTTACAAAAATATTGCTTTGCATAAATTTGACTAAGGGCTATTAAAATTTCCTAAATTACCTACAGAAAAATAAAACATATATTTAAATTTCCATCAATGTGAAAGACTCATGAGAGAAAAAAATTTTAAATTCAAACAATTGTAGTACATAATTTTTTTGATTTTTAGAGGAATATTTATAGTTTGAAAGGGAAAGGATGGTGAAATATATAAAAATTAGGGAGGCAATTCTTTTCCTATTTCAGGAAAATTATAGTTCTTAGAGAACACATTGAAAATAATCTCACAGTTGAAATATATTCATTATGCTAGAGGTTCTAAAGCCTCCTTCCCTTTTTATTTCTGAAAAGAGAAACCCATTTCTTTCGGAATTTGAAGAATGGCTTTAATGCTGTAAGGCTCTAAAGTGAGGGCCTGCAAGCCACCGCCCACAAGCCAGCTCCATCGGAAAGCCCGCTTTCCTCTGGCCGGAGCCGAGAATAATTTCCACGTTTTCTTTTTTTTTTTTTTGGAAGATTCGCCCTGAGCTAACATCTACTGCCAATCCTTCTCTTTTTGCTGAGGAAGACTGGCCCTGAGCTAACATCCGTGCCCATCTTCCTCTACTTTATATGTGGGACGCCTACCGCAGCATGGCTTGCCAAGCGGTGCCACATCTGCACCCGGGATCTGAACCGGCGAACCCTGGGCTGCCGAAGCACAACGTGTGAACTTAACCGCTGCGCCACTGGGCCAGCCCCAATTTCCACATTTTTAAAACGGTTGAAAAAAAGTGAAAAGAAGAATATTTATTGCAGTGTGAAATTATAGGAAATTCAAATTTCAGTGCCTGTAAATAAAGTTCTATGGGAACACAGTGACGCCCCTTCATTTACATTTTGTCTATGGCTGCTTTCCCACTACTGTGAGTGAGCAGGGGTGAGCCGTTGCGACAGACTGAATGGCCCAAAGGCTAACATATTTACACTATCTGGCCTTTCCCAGGCAAATCTGCCAATCCCTGACCTAAGGGATGGAGCCCACGCACTGGCCCCTTTGTGTGTCCCTGCTGCACCTGGAGGACACCTACCTGGTTGAGATGGCGCAGGCACCTGTCAAGACACCAGAAACAGCAGAAGCAGCATCTGAACACGTATCTCGACCACACACTACGCTGCTGGGATCAGGTTCAGAACAAAGGAAGAGAGTCAGAAACAACACAGGAAAGAAGTCAGCAGGCAGTTTCCGTGGACACACGGCTGCGTTTCTCCTTGGAGACTTACACAGCTGGGGACGCACTGTAGCTATCTGCCTTCAGTATGGGAGAAGTTCCTCTATTTTGCACAAGTTATTATTATGAATTATTGTTATTATTACCAGTGAGCAAAGTCTCTCTCTTGTGGGCTCACCAGTTTTGATTACTGTTGACCTCAGCAGAGAGGGAAATGGGTTAATGCATATTTACCAGCAAAGGCAAACTAGGCCTCTGGTTCTAGAAAAACAAATCTCTCTTCCCTCCTCACCATCCCCTAAGCAGCTTCAATGATAAACTTTGCTTTTGCAAACCAGCTTATATTCATGAAAAATTCACACCCCAAAGACAAAATAAATAACGTAGTGGAGAGACTAGTTATGTGCCCACGTAAAAAAAGAATCCAGTTTAACTTTTTTGGAAATCCTACAGTGAGACTTACAGGGCTAACTTTCAAGGGATAAACGAGTCCTTTGAAATTTTAACTTGGATCTTGTGTATGACTCAAAAGTAAATAGTTTAATGAAACTCGTGGAGGAGGGGTGATCGAATTTGTCCTACCCACTGCCCAGAGTGAAAAAAAGAAAACAAAAAGCAATCCTGAAATAGTCCTCTATGAGGACCCCAGGAATAACTCAGCCTTATATGGACATTTTCTTGTCCCAGTGTTAATTCAATTGGATGAAACTTGATCTGGATACTTTTCAGCCTGGCTGTGGTTGTGAATGAGCCATTTAACGAAGGAAAGATCACGCAGTGGCTGTGTGAAACGTTGAAATTGTAGACACAGGACAGGCTGTAAGGCTGCTGAGGAAGACGATTTCCTTTTAACCTAAGAAAGGACATGTTTCTCCAACAGTAACATCACTAAAAGGGAGTTTGGCCCCTTGGTCCTTTTGGGATCTGGGGAGTGATAAATAAGCTTTTAGACCTCTGTTGGAGAGACCGACCCACCGATGTCTCTTTTAGATTTATGGAAGGCTGTCTCCCCACAGTTTAAGCTGCCTAGCTCTAGGAGCAACAGCAAGGTCCCCTACTGTTCATTAATTTATGATTATCTATTACTAATGCATATATATATATGAATATATTTAAAATAAAAAGCTGTTCTGTTTGTCAAGAAATCCTTCTCCAAGTCTCCTAAAATTGAAGGATCAATTTCAAAATGCAGGAGCTAGAGCAGCCACATTTGGCCTGGATGTGGAAATGCCTCTTGAAGTCACTAAAATGTATATATTTTTTAATCCCTTGAAATTTAGCCCTGAAAGTCTCACTATAGAATTAATTTCCAAAAAAGTCAAACTTGGTTTTTTTTTTATATAGGCACATAACTGGTATCTACAATGCAATATTTCAGTAGCAATACAATAAAGTACTCTATGATCAGGGGCAAGTGCTTACCATGCATTTCAAGATAAGGAAGCTAGAAAATTTTATGTGAAATTCAATCTATTGTTCCTAACTGATACACTTATGGGCTTAAAAATAAACAACTCGGATTTCTGCTTAAAAGAAAAAAGAAAAGTAATTCTAAAATACAATAATGAATCCATGTGTAAAATTTCCCATTTACTAAGGACACATACCTATACCCATAAGGTGGGAATCAGGTAGCTGTGTGAAACTGACCAACCCACCAGTGCAGAGGTGGGAATGGGGGAGAGAGGAACATCGTATGAGAACAGGAAAGTTGGGACAAGTCCAACCTTCCCTTGTTGGGCAGGCCAGAAATACCATGAGAACAGCTGTTTTCCTGGTGTTCTGGTTTCCACTGGCATTCATAACCAAATGTGCATGGAAATAAAAACCAGGGAGAAGCAAAACCCCCAGGCACAAAAGCCCTTCAGTTTTCTGTCTTTGAGCTGAGATTTAGGTCAGCTTGCCATTTCTCACTGTTAAGTGTACGCCCACCTCCCCACCCCCCCGGCCCTTCACACCAGTAACTTCCAGTAACCCTCTAGGAAACACAAAAGGCAGGGAATATTTTAGCATTAAAACAGAAAAAAATATTACATTTATCTTGTAGTATATTTTCTTACTTTTTAAAAAAGCATGATAAATGTCCAGAAAAACTTGTTTAACTTTCATTTGAAGAACTCCTCCCGTTTGTTCAGCATTTAAAGAAGAAGGACCAGTCCCTGCCCACCCCACCTCCAGCACCGTATTGGTGAAAAACTCAACAAACTAAACTATAAACAAAACCGACTGGGGACAACAAGTTTGCTGGGGGTCGGGGAGGATGGGACCTGAAGAACACGGGAGCCTTCTGAATGGCCACTGTCACAGGTCACATTCCTGTCCCTGGGGCTGCTGTAGTTTTCCAGTGATGAACTTTTCTGCAACCCAGACAGACTGCGCTGTGTGTTAAGGTGCTGCCTTACCTTCTCTTTCAGAGCGTTACACATGTACACGAGAACGGTTCTTGGAATCCTCACCATGGTGATTACAAATGACCCTTTTACAACTGTTCCTAGATGGTAGCAGAAAAGTACGGAGAGAGATGAAAGGATTGGTCGATCAGGAGGGTCATTTTTATTTCTGGGAATAAGAAAAAAGGACAGCATTTAAAAAACACTGTTTAAAAAGAAACAAAAAACTTCTCTCTGGTTCAAATCATCAACGGTACTACTGAGTTATAAAGCAGTGATGCAACAAGCATTTGGCAAAATTTTTATACTCCTTGGTAGCTAAGGTTAAATTATTTCTTGGACTGAGTTTAATTCCTTTTGGTGGCACTCAATGCTACACAGAAAAGAAAATTAAAAAAAAAAAACAACTAATGAGTTAATAAACAAGTTTCCCTCTTTATAACACCTACCCTCGCCACCAATCCTTTAAGTTGCCTATTTTCATTTTCAGAAGTTTAATTATATAAGAATCTCCAAGGTTTAAATTACGCAGGAGCATATGTAAATATCGCCAGGTTAAAATCATCACCAAATCACCTGACCAGGACGGGCCGCCAGAGAGGTAATTGTGACCTCCAGCTTAATGGGAAGGAACAGAAAGTTTTGGCTTCTGCACAGCTCTAGGCTCCTGAAATCCAGCTGATTTCTGCTCTGCTCTTTAAAGGTCACTTCAGTGTGAATCATTTACGGGACTTGTCATGACACAGCTCCCAAGAATGCAAGTCAGTTTCACAGGCATGGATAAAAAGCGAAAAAGAACAGAATGGGCACAGCCTTCGCCCTGCCTCAAACCTGAAAGATAAAGGAGGGAGGGCTGGTGCAACCCCTCCCCTGATCCTCTGAATTCCCGCTGAGGCCAGTTCTAGAAAAGTAGGCCATTTCCGAGAAGGCAATTCACTGATTCCAAGTGAAGGTTGGTTCCTTCGTAATGGATTATTCTACAACTTGCTCTGGTTGCTAATAAGTCACGATGAATTAAGGTTTTGACAAGAGCCTTGGTTTTGAGGGAGGAAAAGGAATGCAGCCAGAAATGTTTCAAGAGTTGGCAATGGCTGTATTTCGCTGTTACTTAAATCATCCAGGAAGGAAAAGAGAACATGAAAGTCGTTCCGGGAGCGGAATAACTGCAATCCAGTTGTCCCACAAAAGGGCCACGTGTGTTTAAACTCAATATTATTGAAAATAGGAAATACTGGCGAAGCCATTGCTGATACGAATTCATCGTTATCTGATCAACTAGAAGAGTAGGATGGGCAAGGAAAATCTGACACATTTTTTCCCTTTCCTCAGTTGTTTTTTTTTTTTTTTTTTTTAAAGGCAGAATGCTTACTTTGCCATTTAGGAGATTTATGTGCCTTAGAACTTATTATGGTGCTCAAGAGGGGCTGCAGGGAGAAGAGGATGACACCTGCTTTCCATCTGGTAGGGAAACAAATGATTCATAGGCCCCCCTGCAGACGGGCCTGGGGGTCTGCTCCTCCAGGTACTGAAGTTTGGGGTTAGGCATCAGCTTTCTGAGAAGGTTTCGCCGTGATGGGATTAACCACTTCAGACAGAGGACTGTCTGCACTGGCTCCATGGCCCTCATCCATGACACATCCTGGCTATGACTCTAAGGTCTCCAGGGCTTGGTCAGAAGATGCAGAGGTTCCAGAAGCTGAGTTACCACATGATGAGAGAGACAACGTGAAAAGAAGGGCCTTTAAACCCAGGCCAGCTCACAGAACCAGAAGTCACTCAATATCTGCCCTGAAAGCTAGACACCACTCTGCAGAAAAAGGTTAGATAAGTGGAGTGTGTTTGAGGCCTCCCCCTTTGCCACCCTGGCATCCCTCCTCTGCCATGTATGCAGCTGCGGCCTTCATCTCTGTTTCCTTCATAACCAGCAAAACCTGCCTTCAGCAAGAGAATCTGATTGTACCCGGTGAGACTTAAAGTAATAGATATCTCTAAACTTCACCGTATTTTGAGAATTGGCCTAAGGATCGGGCATACTCGGGGACTCAGTGATGAGCTTATCAGGAGGCTAGGGCCTCCAGTCAGGCTTACTCATCTGTCCCTAGGGAGTACTGTGTGTTGAGCACATTCCACCCTGATTCTGTGGATGGTGGCAATAAGGAAAACTCAGGCAGTGTGAGAGAGCAGCGACTCAAGGATGCACCCCACAAGCCCAGGTTTCCCTCTCCTTCTAAACTTGCGGCTGCCCTGAGTGCTCAAGGTGCCTGGCCCCATGCCACAGAGCCAGGGCCTCAGAACACTGCATCAACTCAAGTTGCTGGGCAGAGGTTTTAATGGTCCCATCTATACAAGTCATGGTGCATAAGTGCTGTTTTGCAATGACTAGTGCCTAGGACAACAGAGCATAAGGCCAAGCAAGCAACTTCAGAGTCCCAGAGGCAAGTTGGAGCTCTAGTTAGATCCAGCCCAGTGCTCACTAAGAACTCTTCAAACAGTATGGAAAACTCATTTTGTGCTGAGGCTCCTGGACAAGGACCGGGCTGCACGGGATGGATGGCCTCCAATGTAAATCTGGTCCCAAGCAAAGGAGCGCTCTGTGGTTCCTGCAGAGACCGCGTCCTTTCCTGATATTTCTTTCAGCAAATTCACTGCAAGATGGGGTTGGGAGGGCTGTTAAGAAGCTGTAAAGCTCATCTTTCCAATCCTACAGAAAATGGAAACTGTGTTTGTTATGAAGAACAGGATTCTTTAGCTGTCCTCGGCAACTCTTGCCAGGGTTAGGAAATTCATCTGTCTCCTACCTAAATTCCTTAGGCTCTGGTGTGAATCTGTTCCCTCACTTCTTCCTCTGTGAATCCAGAGCAGCTGGAAACCATCTTTTATATATTTGAAAATGATGATGAAGTCGTGCCTCAAGTGTCCCTTTGCCAAGCTGAACAGTTCTAGTTCCTTCCTGCCACACCTCAGTGGACCCCTCTTTAAGCAAATGGTTTTAAAAGGGAGATTTTATCCTGGTACTTGAGTCTTTGCATGAACTCTTCAATCCTCTCAGTGCTTAAGGAATGACCAAGATGAATGTACTCTGGCTATATTTAATCCTCACTCTGCATGCAGGCTAGAACACGAGATTAAAGAATTGTGAACTCTGAGATAAGGAAAAACTTTGAGGTTTCAAAATTAGGCACAAACTCAAAAAGAAGGTAGAACTTTTTAATAAATGAAATAGCTGTGCTAAAAATAAATCGTGTTTCATTTTAAAATAATTTAGTTTGATCAAAGTAATACGTCAAATATCTTAAAAAGTCAGATAGTACTGTGAGGCTTAACAGGAAAAACAGCAGTTTTCTTCCTCTACTCTTAATTTTCTCTCCCTAAAGATAATATTTCAGCTGTTTCTTCTGGAACTCACCTCTACACTTCTAAATTATATGTTCTTACTGCTATTTCTTGATTCTTCAGCCTCAGCTATTGTCCACTGACATCCCACTACACAAGATGCCGGTTTACTGTTCTTACTAAGGCCAAACTCCCCAATACACTCATTCTTCCATGCCCCGTTCTTCATCTAATTGTACTGAAATGTTTAACGTTTTCTTTCCCCAGCTTTATTGAGATATGATTGACATATTACATTCTGTAGGTTTAAGGTGTACAATGTGTTGATTCGATACACTTACATATTGCAAAATGATCACCACCATGGCCTTAGCTAAACCTCCATCATGTCACGTAATTACTGTTTATTTTTTGTGATGAGAACATTTAAAATCTATTCTCTTCACAACTTTTAAATATATAATACAGTCTTATTAATTGTAATCACCATGCTGTACGTTAGATCCCCAGAACATACTCATCCTATAACTAGAAGTTTGTACCCTTCAACCAACATCTCCCCATTTCTCTTACCCCCCAGCCCCTGGTAACCACCACTCTACCCTGTTCCTATGAGTTCAGCTTTTTCAGACCCATAGATAACTGAGATCACACAGTATTTGTCTTTCTCTGTGTGGCTTATTTCACTTAGCATAATGCCCTAAAGGTCAATCCATGTTGTCACAATGGCAGGATTTCCTTCTTTCTTATGGCGAATAATATTCCGTTGTGTGTGTGTGTGTGTGTGTGTGTGTATTCTTTTTTATTCATTCATCTGTTGACAGGCACTTAGATTGTTTCCATATCTTGGCTATTGTGAATAATGCTGCAGTAAACATGGGAGTGCAGATACCTGAGATCCTGTTCTCATTTCCTTTGTGTATATATATCCAGAAGTAAGATTGCTGGATCATATGGGAATTCTATTTTTAATTTTTTCAGGAACATCTACACTCTTTCCCATACTGGCTGTACCAATTTACATTCCCACTGATAGTACACAAGGGTTCCCTTTTTTCTACATCCTCTACAACACTTTTTTATCTCTTGTCTTTTTGATGATAGACGCCCTAACAGGAGTGAGGTGATAGCTCATCGTCGTTTTGATTTGTATTTCCCTGATGATTAGCGATGTCAAGCACATTTTCATGCACCAGTTGGCCATTTGGATGTCTTCTTTGGAAAAACAGCTATTCAGTTCCTCTGCCCATTTTTCTTTTCTTTTTTTTTTTTTTAGGAAGATCAGCTCTGAGCTAAAAATCTGCCACCAATCCTCCTCTTTTTCTAGGAAGACTGGCCCTCAGTTAACACCTGTGCCCATCTCCCTCTATTTTATATGTGGGATGCCTGCCAAGGCATGGCATCAAGCATGGTTTGATAAGCGGTGCATAGGTCCGCACCTGGGATCTGAACCAGCAAACCCCGGGCCACCAAAGCAGAGTGCGTGAACTTAACTGCTGTGCCACCAGGTTGGCCCCTCTGCCCATTTTTTAATTGGATTTTTATTTTTTTGCTATTGAGTTGTATGAGTTCTTTATATATTTTGGATATTAACCCCTTATCAGATACCTGATTTACAAATGTTTTCTCCCATTCCGTAGGTTGCCTTTTCATTTTTGGATGGATTCTTTTGCCGTGCAGAACCTTTTTAGTTTGATGTAGTCTCAGTTGTTAATGCTGCTTTTGTTGCTTGTGGTTTTGGTGTCATATTAAAAAAATTGTTGGCAAGACCAATGTCAAGGAGGTTTTCCCCTTTGTTTCTTCTAGGAGTTTTACAGTTTCAGTTCTTATGTTTAAGTGTTTATAAGTTAATTTTTATGACCAGTATAAGATAGAGGTCTAATTTCATTCTTCTGCATGTAGTTATCCAGTTTGCCCAGCACCATTTACTGAAGAGACTAACCTTTCCCCATGGAGTATTCTTGGCTCCCTTGTCAAATATTAGTTCATCGTATATGCAAGGGCTTATTTCTGGGCTCTCGACAGTGTTTCATTTATCTGTGTCTATTTTGATGTGAGGACCATACTGTTTTGATTACTATAGCTTTGGAGTATAGTTTGAAATCAGGAAGTGTGATGCTTCCAGCTTTGTTCTTTCTCAGGATTGCTTTGGCTATTTGGGGCCTTTTGTGATTCTATACAAATTTTAGGATTATTTTTTCTATTTTTGTGAAAAATGGCATTGGAGTTTTGAGAGGGATTGCACTGAATCTTTAGATGGCTTTGGATAGTATGGATATTTTAACATTATTAATTCTTCTGATCCATGAACCTGGGATATCTTTCCATTCGTTTGTGTCTTCTTCAATTTCATCAAAATCTTAGAAGTTTTGATCTTTCATCTCTTCGGTTAAATTTATTTCTAAGTATTTTACTGTTTCTAACACTATTGTGAATGGGACTGTTTTCTTGATTTCCTTTTCAGATACTTTGTTGTTAGTGTATAGAAATGCAACTGTTTTTTGCATGTTGATTTTATATCCTGAAACTTTACCAAATTCATTGGTTAGTTCTAAGAGTTTTTGTGTGGCGTCTTTAGGGTTTTCTCTATCTAAGAATATATCATCTGCAAACAAAGACAATTTTGCTCCTTCCTCCCCAATTTGGATGGCTTTTATTTCTTTTTTCTTGCCTGATTGCTCTGCTGGAACTTCCAGAACTATGTGGAATAGGAGTGGTGAGAGTGGGCACTCTTGTCTTGTTCCTGATCTTAGAGGAAAAGCTTTCAACATCTCACCATTATGTTTTAGTTAATGTTTAATGTTCATATTATCAGTACATAAATAACATTCACAACTGATCCAAGTAGTGTACTCTGATTATATCTCCTCTCTTATACAACTTTTGGTTTTCCTGAAGTTAATAATCGTTTCACATTTGTTATTTGCTTGGTTTTCATGGGTTTCACTGAATGCTTCACCAAAGTGTAAATCATTTCTCTACATGTTCAAACACACCTGGTTTTCTTTTTTTTCTTGGAGACAACCCTCCTTTTGCCCACTGTCCTCCTGTTCCATCTTGGACAATCTATTTTCTATACCTGCTGCATAACTACCACCCTTCCCTTCTTTTCTGTGGAGCCCATTTCCTGAATCTCATGTTTTCCTCCCTGGCTTACTCATTTACTTCAGTGGAGAACATCCTTCCTAAGGAAGAGTGGGGAGGGAATCTTTTAGAACACTGCAAGCCTGAATACAACTTTATTCTCCTTTACCCTGACTGATGGTCAATAGGTAAAGAATTCTAGATAGGAAATAATATTTCCTTAGAATTTTGACAGTCTTGTTCCACTGTCTTCCTGGTTCAGAGTTGTTGTTGAAAGTCAGGTTTCACTCTAGTTCTTGATCCTTTGCCTGTGATCTGTGTTTCCTTCTAGAAGCTTCTGGAATCTTCTCTTTACTCATGTCCTCCAGCTCTTCTTTTTTCTCTATTCTCTGTTTCTAGAACTCATATTAGTCAGATGTTGAGTCTTCTAAATTTATCCTCTTTTTATCCTTTCTTATTTTCCATCTCTTTGTCTCTTTGCTCTACCTTCTGGAAGAGTTTTTTATTTTTTAAAGATTGGCACTTGTTGTCAATCTTTTTTTATTTTTCTTTTCTTCTTCTTCCCAAAGCCCCCCAGTACATAGTTGTATATTCTAGTTGTAGGTCCTTCTGCCTCTGCTATGTGGGATGCTGTCTCAGCATGGCTTGACGAGTGGTGCTAGGTCCATGCCCAGGATCCGAACCAGTAAAACGTGGGCCGCCGAAGCAGAGTGCATTAACTTAACCACTTGGCCACGGGGCTGGCCCCCTGGAAGAGTTCTCCAACTTTATATTTTAATTCTTCAATAGAAAATTTTCACTTTTACAGTAATATTTTTAATTACTAAGAGGTCTTTCTTGTTCTCTCGCTATTCTCCTCCTCCACTTTTTTTGGTTCTTATTTTATGGATTCAGTATTTCTTTGTTCTCTCTGAGGATATTATAGTTCTTTTTTTTTTGTAGTTTTCTTCTGTTGCCTGCATTGTCTCTTTTTCTCTAAATTCCATTTGTTTGTTTTGTTCATTTTGATTTCTTTCTTTCACTAGAGGCTTTCTTCAAATATTTAACCACCACTGGCTACCAGTTCACATTTAAGAGTGAGAGACTAAAGAGGAAGTGGAAGCTCTATATTTGAGGGGCACTGCTTATTGACTGATGAATTTCACCGTCTGGTTCAGAATCAGGGAGTCAGGCCATTTCATTGGGGGACTCCCGTACGGCACTATGTATAGGTCTTTGGGTTATAAAATTTCTCCAAAGAAGAATCCTCTGACTTCCTGCCTAAGGGATATTAACCTGGCTGTTAACATCCTGGGAGCTGAGCCATGAAATGTGGATCAGTGGTGGGTCCTCACTATGCAGTATTTAGACTGTCATTTACTCCCTTTTCTTTCAGTCAGAGCCTCCCCTCCAGCCTCAGCTGTGCCAGACACCCCAAGTCCAGACCTTCTCTGGTTTACCTCTCCAGAGATCAAGGCTCCCATCTTTTGCTGGTGTGGAGGAGGAGACCTGGGGCCTAACTGCTCCTTAGAAAAACTTTTAACTAATCCTTGGAAGTACATTTTACCCGTGAATTCCTGAGCCTCTCTAGGTTTTTGTGGCTCAAATCAGCCTGCATCTTATCATCACCTCCTCTCCCACTGCCCCCCCACCAACCCCCACACAGACAGGCCTTTTTAGCTCTCTCTAGTCTGCTCAAAGTCACCACTCACCCATCCTTTCTGTTGACATATCTTATCTGCTGTCATTGCCTCTGTTTGTCACTGGCCTTGTGTGTTTATGCCTTTTTCATTCTTTCATGATTTTGGGGTGGGAACTGGAGTGGGAGGAGGTGTTAGGAGATCCATTCACATGCTTCACTGGAAGTCCACACCCTCTCATTGAAAATGCTTTGGCTTTGTTATTCTAAGACAATAGAAAATCACTACTGTCAGACATCTGTTACTTGCTGGTCAATTTGGTTAAGATAATCTTTGCTCTCCTACTCAGGAGCAAGCAGCACATACCACCCACCTGGGGCCGCTCAGAGGTTCTCCACGCCATGGGCTACAGCCCCTCTGCAGCCCTCAGTCCTATGTCCTACAGAGTCTTTAATGATGGAGGCTCCCAAACAGCACCACTGTGTTAAAACCCACGGGCTCCTTATCCTCAGGAGGTAAGTGCTCATCGCTGTGAGTCATCCCTGGTTGACTTTCTTTCCCCACAAACACTCATGTATATCTGCTCATTTGGTCTGAGAGGTTAGAGGAGGATGGGAAGGATCAGCCCTATCAGGAGTAAACTTCCTGTTCTGAGTCCAACCCTGTCATTGTCTTGGCTGAGCTCTTCTTGCCTGTGGTTTTATCAATGCTCCTTGGAATGTCTTACACACAAAAGGGGTAAAGAGTTGAGGGGTGAGTGTCCTCAATTATTTTGACGTTGTAATGGGGTGTAAACACTTAAATGATAATCATGGTGAACACAGAAGGTAGTAATTAATTCTCTAGTACTTGACTATATGAACACAAATTATATTTTATAGTTATATACAATTCCCTTAGGATTTAAAATTATTTTCCAAGAAGATGTTCTCCTCATTTCACATAGGATGAAATGAGGCTCACAGAACTTACTGAAGTGTGTTCCAAATAGACTAGCAATTTTTTTAAGTCTGAAATCAGTAAGAATGGATGTTTACAGAAGTCAACTCTTCCTTTAGGCTGTCTTTCAATGCTAAACAGTACGATTACTTCCCTGTTTGATTTCCTTCTGAATTTTTTTTTAGTTTAAAGCAAAACAGCTTGGAAATGCAGCAAATTTAAGGTATAACATTTCTTTTCACTACCAAATGACCATTCCACCCAATTTTTAGCTTAGTCTTTCATTCTAGGCCACTGCTTTTAAGGGGTCATGGCAAAGCTCCAAAATATCTTTTGAGATGCACAACATGAAGCACACAGACAAACCAGCAGGAGTAACATGCTAGACCTACCTGTTGAAATAACAAGTAGCCACCGCCCCAGCTATAGTCATCTGTTGGCACGCCAGGATGAATTCGCTGGTCCAGATGAGGCCAATCAAATGGTACCACCACATATACCGAATGCCAGAAAGAGGCTTGTACTCCACTTGGCCGCCTTCGATAACCTGGGCAGCTCCTAAAGTTTAAAACACAGACATGCTCTACACCAATGCTTCCCCAAGGGTGGAAGACGGTTCCACAGGCCATGCCTCTCGTGCCTGGCCTTTGGCATTACATGAAACACAGACACCAAAGCAGTTTGAAGCACCCACCATAATTTAAGATCTCCACAGCAAAAACTAAAAATTGAAACACACCTTTAATTTATGAGTAACATCAACAACAATAATTACAATGACTGATTGGTAGGCAATTTGCAAGGTATTTGCCCCATACTCTAATACCCATCCCACTTCGTAGATGTGAAAACTGAGGTTTGGAAGAGACAAGTAACTTTCGGAAAGTTTTGCTGCTCATGATTAGCGGAAGGAGAATACAAACCCAGACACACTGGACTCTAAAATGCCTGGATTTTCTACTAGACCACTTTGGGATGTGAACAAAAGTTGCTATGTTGATGAAACCACACAAAGCCATTAAGACTATGTTATAGAACCTTACTTTACCCCAACTTTAGCCATTCTAAAAGACAAAGATCTTCATTTCTTTCAAAGGGATTCATTGCAGATTTCAAGAACAAACTCTTCTAACACATTTAAAATGCCTGCTGGGCCTCAGGGTTAATCTTGGAGATTCAGATCTCAGCTTTACCTCTTCCTGGGTAGCCTGGGGCAAGGTACTTGGCCTCTTGGAGTTTCAGCATCCTTATCTCTAATACCCATTTCCTGGTGGTAATCTGAGTGACATTACCTGGTAAGTGCTTAACAGAGGGCCTGGAATAGCCCTCCATAAGTGACAACGATTATTATTATTAAATTTCAGGAGCACAATACTGTATTATACCAAGGCCAGCAAGGTAACCCCAGCAGTGCTCAGCCGTTCCCAAGGCTGTACCTTGCTTTACGCGCCCTCATCTAAAGAAGCCCTTGAATTAGCTCTGCAATTTAATTCAACTCCATTTGGATTTGGCAAATCCCAGCTGTGGGACTGTGCTTGATTTCTAGAAGGACTCTGCTAAATATTTTAAATAAGCTACTGTAAGTAAGAAGATGGGCACTTTGGTCTTCGGCGAAACCTACAACTTGAACAACATTTAAAGATAGTTTCAGATTCCTTTCATAGCTATAAATTGCTTTTAGGTTCATAATTCATATGTCTTTAGACATTCACAATAGAGTTTGTGCAAAGGAAGTAGGAGAAGATAATCATGCTTCCACAGATCAGGGCTGGGCTCAGTTCCTTATGCTCTGTGTTCTGCTGAACAAGAGTCACATTGTGACAAACAGTGGAGCAGCTTGATGTACAGAGAGAAGTTAATATTTTAGTGAACACTGGGCGCATTCTGGCTTGGCGGCAATCTCTGTTTCAGGTAAGGCACTGATAAATGCTTATGTTTCTCCAAAATGGGTGTGTTTCAGAAAAGCATTCCCAACTCCAAAGGAGGTGACCCCTCACAACGAACAGGTGTGTTTGGGTAGATCAGGTCAGTGGAGACTTGGAGAACCACTCCCTGGAGGAGTAGAAGTGACAGGGGCTAGCCAACAAGCACTCTGCTGCTCCTGCAAGGTCTCCAAGTCCTGGGGACAGATTGCCGTTCTGCAAGATTAGATCTACACCTTCACAAATGCTTTGGGGCTCGAGAATGTTTCCACAGAGCAGGAGGGATGGTTTCCTCGACTGACAAAAGGCAAGTACAAAGGTCCTGCATTCTGAGGGGGACAGTCTCTCCTCGCTCTGCACGTTCATATGCATCCCTGCTAGGCACACTGATGGCAACAGCCGGCGAGTGGAGAGCGGCTGGATAAGTCAAGACCTGTGCAGGCCTTCAAACCGTTGGCATTCCCCAAAGCAGCAGAACCTGTGCGTTAGTTTTGATTGCTCACTTGCTTTTGGACATCTTTAGCAAAGCTGTCTTCTATTTGTTCTTCTGGTTCAGTTATACCAGGCTGTTTATAGACTTCCCTTTAGGACATGGTTTCTCAACCTCTCAACACACCAATTGGCATTGTGGACCAGATCATTCTTTGTCGGGGGTAGGGGGACTGTTCTGTGCACTGTAGGATGTTTAGCAGCTTCCCCGGCCTCTACCTACTAGATGTGAGGGGCATCCCCCCTTCTCGCTTCCAGTTATGACAACCTAAAATGTCTCCATACATTGCCAAATGTCTCCTGGGGGACAAAACGGCTGCTTGAGAAACACTCCTTTAAGTAAACACTCTGAAGAACCAGGCGCTGGCGCTGGCTTCAGGAGGAAAGCCCAGGACTAGTCTATGGGTGGGGCAGGCGGGTTTATGCACACATGACTGCCCTCTTCTGGATGGCCGGGTTGGTGCAGGCAAGTGCCTCTCATTGAACGACCAGTCGCTTTGTCACTAAGGACTCTTACAATACAGCTACTACCATGTGTAGCTAACAGGTGTTAGCAGGAACTGGACTTCTACAGATAGATCCCAAGATATGATGGATCTCAGGGATGGTGGTGGAGAGGGCACTGAACTGGGAGTGGACTTAGTTCCTGCCTCGGCTTTGACATAAGCGATCAGCACCTTGGGCCTCAGTTCTCTCATCGTAAAGACGAAGAGGGTAGACAGGATGAACCCTGGGGCAGTGGTTACAGGCTTGGGCTCAAGAGTCACACAGGCTGAGATTCACACCTCTGCATTGTCCTCTAATGGTGACCCAACCTCGGGCAGGTTATGGGACACTGTAAAATCTGTTTCATTGTCTGTAATCTGAAGGTACCTACTTCTCACTCCCGGGGGGATCCCATCCAGTCTCATGGCTCTAAATGTCATACATGTAGCTGTTATGAGGATCAAGTGGGTATGGCACTTTGAATAGTAAGTACAATGTAGGGTTAGCTATAATTGAGATATAGGTAGATATGATTCCAGTTCTGAAATTAACAAATATCTATTAAGCATCTACTGCATGCTAGATTATGCTGGATGTTAGCTATTAGGGGAAGAAAATGAGAGAAGCAAACGAAAAATCAGAAGAAAGATACCATCTGAGCGACTATCAGGAACTCACACGTTGCTATGTTAGTCTATTCATCTCCCCTTCTGGACTGTTTATAATTTCTCCTCCGACCTCTGAGAGCTGCTTCCCCATCCTCACTCTCAGTCAATGACCTTACTTCCGGTTTCTCTGAGAAAATTGAAGCAATCAGAAAACCTCTGCTAGAGCTTACCCACTACATCTACTCGCCATCGGCAGGTTTCCATAGCCCACCCCCTGCCTCCCCCTCCCTCCTGATAGGATAAACTGTCCATGATCTTAAGGCCAATCTCTCCACTAGATCCTACTTCTCACCTACTTGAAGATACCTCCTCAATTCTCTCCCTCTTTCTTGCTTCATCAAAACAGTCCCTCTACTGAAACATTTTTAATCATCTCACATCTTTAAAAAAATCTACTCTTGACTCTTTCCTCCTCCAGCTGCCTTTCCATTTCTCTGTTCCTCTTTACGATCCAATTCTCAAGATTTTCTCTACTTACTCTTTCCAATTCTTTTTCTCCCATTTTTCTCTTAAACCCACTCCAATCCGGATCCACTCCCCATCACCTCTCTGAAACTGTTTTGTGTCACCTCCATGTTGCAAACTTCAGTGGTCAATCTTTAGCCCTTATCTTTCTTAGCAGCACTGGACCATTCACATCTCCTGGAAACCTTTACCCAGATTCCAGGACAGCACGCTTTCTCCCCTCCTGCCCACTGGTGGCTCCCTTTCAGTTTCCTTCCTTATTCTTCCTCATCTCCAGGACTTCTTAACACTGAAGTGCCCCAGAGCACAGGCCTTAGATTTCTTCTCTCTCTGCACTCATTCTAACCTCATGGTTTTAAATACTACTTACATGCTCCCAGATTCCCAAATGTAGATCTCTACCTGGGATTTCTCCAGAAACTTCAGACTCCAACAGCTAACTCTTTACTTCATATTTCCATCTGGCTTCCTTAAAGACATGTCAATTAACACAACCAAAAGCGGATTTCTGATCTTCCCCTAAAATGCTCCACTCAAAGTCTTGCTCCATTTCCATGGGTGGCAACCCTATCTTCCAGTTGCTCAAGCCAAAAACCTCAGTACCATCCCTGACTCCTCTTTCTTTCAGACCCCTCATTGACTATATCAGGAAATCCTTCAGACTAGATGCAGAATCCAATATGTCACACCATGTCCACCATTACGACCTCTCCTAAGCCACCGTCATCTCCTCCCTGGATCACTGCTATTCATATGTAGGTCAGATCACGTCACTATTCTGCTTAAAACACTGTGATGACTTCCCATCTTAGATTAGAATCAAAATTCCTATAAAGGCCTACAGGGCCCCAGAATCAGGCCCTCTGCTCTCTGACCCCCTCCTGAACCATGCCCTCCTTCAACCATGCCACTCTGGCTGAACGGGCCTCCTCACTGTGCCCCCAGACCTCTGTCTATGGCTGTTCCCTTTGCTGAGAGCATTTTCCCTTCCCTTATACAGCCTCATGGCTCTGCCCTCACCTCCTTCAAATCTTTGCTCATGTACCACCTTCTCAATGAGGCCATCCCCGGTCACCAAATTTAAAATTGCACCCCTCCCTTAAGCCTTTCTGGTTCCTGTTCTCTGCTTTATCTTTCTCCATACCACTTGCCAACTTTTAATGTTCTATGAAATTCGCTTACTTATTTTATTTAATGCCTATCTCCCTCTAGCTTCCAAACCAGAAGGATTTATCTCCAGCCTCTATAACAGGGTCTGAGACAGTAAATGTTCAATAAGCAATTGTTGAATGAATGACTAAATGAATGAACAGCCAACCTTCCTCAAGTAATATATCCTATCATAGAGATTTGAGACAATTTTCTGGAGATCTTCCTAGAGTTATCAGTATAACCTGGAGGAAATTCATCCTGCAGCTAACTGTAAATCTGGGTATTATAAGCAAGCTTTAAAGTATTTCAAAAGACTGAAGTGATACTAATCATCAATATAAATGGCAGTTTCTCAAAGAAGGCAGTCCAGCTGGTTGGGATAATTTCCCAAAGAAAGCAGGCCCAACTTGGAAGGGCTCAAATTTCTAGCACATTCTGTGTACTTGCTCTCTTCCAGCAAATTGGCTTAAACGTCCTGCTGGACCCCCAGCCCGCTAATAGCAATCCTGCTTGTACCTCCCACTGGCTCAGCTTCTGCTCTGACAGCATGAGGATCAGAGAAAAGGAGAAGAAAAATCTCACTGACATAGAGCCTGCAATTTACCAAATTCTTTTAATGTATTCATCTCATTTCATACTCACAACACTGATGTGAATTCACACGGATTCAGACACACTTTCTGATCCCATTCAGGGCCTGTGCACTGAGCTAAGAGACACAGAGAGAAAAAGACATGGTCGCTGCCCTCAAGATGTTTGTACTCTAGTGGGACGACAACACACAAGTCATTGTCTTGCATTATTGTTCTTCACAGGACTTACCACCATGACATATAATATATTTACTTATTTATTCCCTCATTCCCCACTTACGAGTGCCTTTGTCCTGCTCATTGCTGTATCTCCCATACCCAGGGCACACAGTAGACTTGCAACGAACATTTGTTGAAAGAATGAAGAACATAAAAAATGCAAGGAAAATGAAGAAGAAATATCTGTGTGCCTGGGGAATTTATAGGAGATTTTCTAAGAAATATAATACTCAAATCTTGAAGAATGACTAGATTTCCAAGTAGTTTGGGGTAGGGAGTTGGGGTATCATTGGGGAAGAGGAGAAGGCTCTAGACGAAGATCACAGCAGGTGAAGGGCACAGAGATGTCCGTGGAGACCATTTTCCTTTGTACCTTCCCAAAGGGACCGTGACCTTCTGAAAAGCAGGAGCTGTTTCAAATCGCTCCTGTGCAATCTCCCTTCACTCGGTTCCTAGGACCGGGCTGGGCCACTAGCAGGCTTTTGTACAATAACTTTGAATATCTTCTAGATCTCTGATAATTAAAAAAAAAAGACTATTTTCTTTTGAACTGTGTTCTCAAATGTGCCAGGCAGAGCAAAGAATAAACCACTAAGCTGAAGCTAGTTCTTGATTTTCCCTAGTCGAAATTAATTCCTAAAATTAGGAACATATATGGTCCTTTATTTGCAAAGCAAAGCTCTGATTCCATCTCAGCCTCCTAACGTCCCTGTGAGGCAGCCTGGGGAAAGCAGCATTTTTCCATTGCAAACATGGGAAAAGGGAAGAGCAGAGGATTAACATACAAGGAAGGCCAGAGCCAGCCTGGATCCCGGGTCCCTTGATGGGAAATCCTCTGTCCGATCCTGCTGCCTCCTTTCCAAGCACGGCCCTTTGCCTGTCCCAAGCATGCTGAGGCATCCCTGTGTTACCTCTTCTAAGCGCGGCAGAGACTGCGAGGGAAAACTCCCCCTCAATGGGCCTCTTCCATTATTCAGACTCTGGGGTCTCCAGACCATGTTAATGACAACTGGGGGAATCAGCTCATGTGGGCTCTTTCCAACCTGCCAACTGCACCTGCTGGATCCCCAAGGTTATTACAGTTTTCATTTTTCTCCACTGGATTTTAGTAGTCACTGTCACGTTGCTGGTAGCAGACAAGTCCCAACCGACCAATAAATGTCATTGCTGGGGGGCATTGATATGCTCTGCTGAAATAATCCCCAAACAGGTCAGAATTTGGTAAGTAGTTAAAAGACTGATCAACTGTCACTAGAGAAATATAGCTCATCCAGGCAAAAATGATCAATCTAAGTTCACTTTTCCTGTATTTTCTTTTCTTTTTTTATAGATCAAAAGAATCATTCATTCAACCGTCTGACAAAATTGAAAACTCACAAGTGTTTACCTACTGAAGACACTCCACAACATTGGGCACGGACTGAAGAGGGAGTCTGAGGGGGGGTGAACAAGACAATCAGGCACGTGTGCCGTCTCTCACCACCCAGCTCACCTGGCATCTTTGCTCGAGCTGTGAGAGCAGCTCAGAGTCTCTCACAAGTGTAGCTGGGGCATCTTCTGAAGATCAAAGGGATGCAGCTGCTGACCTGCCCAGGCCCAGAGCTGTTGCTTTGGCACTGGGTGAAAAGGCCTTTGAAAACAAAGGGAGCTCTGTGCACCTGGATCAGCCCACAGGTGAGTGGAAAGGAGAGGCAGGTGGCCTGAGGGGACGCCAGCCTGGTCTTATGATGCCCTACCCCAGGGAGGAGCGACGGCGGTCACTCTGTGTAACACCTTCCCTCCCAGAAAGTCTAATATCAACCCTAACGTCATCCATACCACAATAGGTCCTGGCACCCAGCTTGCTTTCCCACCCATTGACTCCTCTCACTCTTGCTTGTTTGCTCCTTGCACTGATAGAGAACTGCTGCTACACTTTAATACATGACCCTCTGAAGCAGCTATAGACCGAGTGCCACCTTTGGCCCTGGAGAAGAGCCTGCTTGTCTCCCTGCCCCTCTTGCTCTCAATCCTGGGGCTGGGGCTCTTGAATTCCCCCTGGGCCCTGGGCCTACGGTGGGGACTGACGGGGCACCATGCTAGCAGCTCACCCCCAGTCAGCCGTGGGGCTTGTTCCTCTCTGACTGAAGCCCCAGCTCTCAACCTGGCTCTCTTCCTGTCCTCTGTGACTGAGTCCTCTCCTGTGTTTGGTCGTGACACCATTAAACGCCCTTTTGTCTCTTTCTGTATTTTCTGATCTTCTGGCAACTTCTAGCCCATCTTCTGAGAAGCCTTCCCTGACTCACAAAGTGGGTTGGAACCTTGTTCTGGTGCTCTCAAGGCTCCCCAAATTTCTCCACGGTGACATTCGTCAACTCTGCTGTGAGCACGTGTTTAATTCTCAGTCCATCCTGTTTGGCTCTAAGTACTATGGGGAGAGACCACCCCTCACCCCTGGTGCCTTCCCAAGGCCTCAGCCCCACAGAACTCACCTAACATCCGTGAATCAAAGAACGAATGGAAGAATGTGCCCTGCTCTAAAGCATCGAGGGTTTAACCACAGAACCAGTTTCCTTCAGCCAGACTCAGAGGCCCTAGAAGCTGGAGGAGGAAGCTCCTTCTCTGGTCCTGAGCCATATTTCCCAAGACCTCAACCTTCCTCTGGTGATTCTTTGAGGCAAGGGCTCAAGTACCACAGCTCAGCACCCCATGCGCTGTACCCTGCCACTTCCTGCCACTTGTCACTCCCAGCCTGCTCTGGCTTCAACCTCTGGCCCTGCTATGTCTCCCTGTAGCCACAGGCCCCAAGTGCCACATTAGGGGCACAGCCTGCATCTGCCAGCCAGCGGCTGTGGCCGTAATACTGCTTCGATTTGAACAGACAGATCTGAGGAAGCCTAATTTTGATTTCCTAGCTTTGAATCTCAGACACAAGGAAAAGGTGAGATAGAGGAAAGAGGACAGGTTCTATTCTAAAGCTCTGGAGCCAGAGAGAGCCACTGCACTTCCCAGCTGTTTGACCTTGGGCAAATTACTTACTCAGAACCTCTATTTTCTTGCCTTGTTAAGTTGAGCATAACAATGCATGCATCATGACAGGAGGATGGGGGACACAGTATTGTCTTCTCAGGACCAAAGCAGTGTGAACTTCTGTGTGCACCTGCTTTGCACTTAAGCTGGCTCTGCTGAGCACAACAAGATTTTAACAGGGTCTTTCCTGGGTTCTTCTTTATCGCCTACGGATTTGTGAGGAGTTGGCAAATTACCTTGGAAAAAATTTAAACCCAGAGACATTTGATAATATTCTTCCTATAGACTTTTGTTCATATTGTAGTTTTTCCTGAAGCTCTTTCAGTTCTCACTGAATTTGTTCTTTCATGAAACACAAACCCAGCTTCTTTAATGACTATATAAAAGAAGAAAAAGAACATCCTGCTTCCCCCCATGACAGAGGCCCTAGCACCGTCTCTGTTGTCATCAGATGCCTCTAGTCAATGGGAGGGTCGGTGCCTACAAAAACAGACCAATGGTTCCAAAATGGTGGCATCTTCTGTGCATGACTCCGAGGTGATGGGACCCACCCCGCTGCCCGTACCTGCAGTTCCCAGGCTCAGGAGCACAGCCACCCAAAGGACCCAGAAGAAAATGAGGATGGCAAATGTCCACAGTGGCTGGAACAGCAGGAAAGGAGAGCTGCCGATGGCTTTATTTATGACTCGGAAAAGTTCAACTGTCAATTTTATTCTCTTTCTGAGGACAAAAATCAAGACGAGCAGAACTGCCTGGGGAAAAATGGGATAGAGTAAATTAGTCAAAATAATGAAGAACTGAGAAGCGCTTAAAACAAACCCTAATATTTCACTGCCATCTCAGCAAACAGCTCTCTTAGGGTAGTTACTCACTACTTTTATTAGAATCGGGCAGATAAATTCTCAAACACGAATTGGGCGTCTGCTATATGCTGGTCCCTCTGCTAGATCCTGCAGCTACAACAGTGAACAAGACACAGCCCCTGCCCTGCAGGAGCCTGCAGTCTGGTCAGAGAGCAAGAGAAAATGAGAAGGCGGCCCTCTGGGGTGAGGGAACTGTCTTCTATGTCTTTTTCCCCCCGTAGCACCCAAAACACTCAGAGAACGCTGAAGGACTGCAAAAGGGCAAAGGAACACAAGTATGAGGGCAAAGGAACACAAGCATGAGGGCAAAGGACAGTGATTGTGTCTCGAAACAACCATCTGTGCCCTCTTCTCCACTGGTTTTGGCCTCAACATAAATATCACATTAAAGAAACAAACCACCCTTCACCCCACATCCCAGTCCAGCCACTACCATCCCTCTCATTCCTTTCACAGGCAAGCTTCTTCAAGGACTCGTCTACACTCGCCATCTACACTTCTATAGCCCAACTCATTCTTCAACCACCTGTAAACCTCCAGACCCCAACACTCTTCTAAATCTGCTCTCCCTAAGGTCACCTCTTTTGACCTCCTTCATGTCAAACCCCATGGAAACCTTCCAGGTCTTGCTTGGCCTCAGCATGGCACAGGAATCTCTGGTCCACTCCTCTTTTTCTTAAACTTGACTTCTGTGATCGCTCTTTCTTCTGGTTCCCCTCCTCCTACTTCTTCAGTTGTTGTTACTTGGGATCTTTTGTGGGTATCTCCTACTCCTTTCAGATTTTAGCATTCTTCCTAGATGCTGATAACTTTCAAATAAACTCAAACTCAACTTGTCCTGAACCAAATTCATTAGCTTCATACAAAAATCTCCTCTTTCCCGTATGTTCCTGACTCTGGTGGCCCTAATTTTTCTGGCTCTTCGAGAATGAGTTAGACTCCTCTCTTGCGTGCTTCCATTTTATTCTATACTTGCCCTATGGTAGCACTCAACATATTCTACTGTAAATGCTTACTGTCTGGATTTACCATTAGACTAAACTCCTCGAAGGAGGGCCATCTGTTATTGTCAGGGACTGGCAAAGGGCCCAGTGTCCAGCACAATCCCAATGACCTGTGATTCAGGTTCCTGACCGATCTCTCAATCTATCCTTTCCTTTCTATTCCCACTGTTGATGCCTCAGCTCAAATCTCATCCTGTCTCATCTAGAGCCTAATAACCTCCCATTAGCTTTCTGCTTTTAATCCCTCTGACCCCCCACTCCCACTCCAATCGCTCCTCCAACCCACAGCTAAAGGGATCTTTGTAAAGGGTAGTGTCAAGGATGTCATCTCCCTGCTCAAAATCCATCAACCGTCCCCCAATGCCTCTGGATAAAGACCAAAGTCATTATCATCACAGATCAGGACCTTGCCCCCACGGCCTCTCCCCACACCTGCCTCTCAGGCTTCCACCAAGGGAACTTCCTGCAAGTCCGTCTCTTGTTCATGTGACCCTACACATGCCATCACCTTGGCCTAACATGCCCCTTCTCTTCCAGCTGGGCTTGGGCATTCCTACCTCAAGGATCTCACAGTCAAGTGGAGGGAAGTCAGAGGACGGTGGGACAAACTGTGCAAAACTGCTCTGGGGCTGCGAGCAGAACCTCCGGACCTAGCTGTGGGGAGTGTTAGCAGAAGCTGGGGAAGATGCTCAGAGGAGACCCAAGAGTTGTAAAGGCTAAGTGGGAATTTCCATCTCTGTGTCCTCAATGCCTAGCACCATCAACAAGGAAGAGGGATTTTTTTGTTTTTGTTTTTTATTTAAAATTTTAACAAATCAAAATGATACAATCTTTAGGCAAATAAACTTGGCTTCTAGCTCCTGAATGGAATGCTAACATGTGTATTTAAATGTGTGTGTGTTTCACAACTTATATTACATATATGCATGAAATACTCCCCTCCTACTCAAGGTACACTTATGTGGATGTTCTTTAGAAGTGTTAACTCGAACCCATTACTGCCCCCTATCCTTCTCAGTGGGGTAATGGGACGGTGCTAGAGCTGTGGGCTGGGCTGGGGCAGACAGCACAGCTGACTCACCATGGGCGCCAAGCCTGGACTTCACTTTTCTGGGCTCTAAGCTACAGGCAGCTGCATTTCAGCCTGTGCTCCTAGGCTGACACCCTGAGGTCAGCATTTAACGCCATTCACTCCATTATCTTCATTGCTGCTTGTGATTATATTGAAACTATTTAAATAATAGTCACAGGGAGCCCCATCTTTCCTGTTGTAAACAACATTTTCAAGTTTATTTGTAAGGCAGGTGCTGGGAACCCAGGAAACACATCCCGACCCAAGTGGTCCTGGCAGCAGACAGGAGCTCGCCGGGATTCAGGCCACCAGGTGAGACTCTCAGGGTTCCAATACATGGCAAGAGCATGTGGGAAGACGAATGAGATGGAGGCTCGAGGTGAGCAAAGAGGATGAGCGTTGAGGGAGGTGACCCTCCTTCTGCTTCTATTCTTCTCCTGCTAATGTTGGTTTTCCCCTTTCTTTCCCTTCTCTGGGAAAGTCGGGGTAAGAAAGAGGCAATGAGGGAGAGGAAGGGCAGCTGACAACTCCTCTTGCCCCTTGGAGACCTGCACTGGGCATGGGGAGTGGTGCTTGACCAGCGGACATAACTTGATTTTCCCTCCCTGTCCTTCTTCCCTCACCTTGCGCAGGGTCTGTAGGAGCTGAGACTGGGGTAGTGGGAGAATAAACATGGTGGGCAGTGGTTTTCCCAGGCATGGCCCTGGCCCTCCTCTTGCTCCGTAACCAGCCCAGCTGCCCCAGACTCAGGGCTCCAGCCAGGGAGCGTTAGGGGTGGCTCTCTGGTGGGAATGCCAAGCTTCCATGGTGGACGCCCCTAGGGGAGGGGAAGTCCATACCCCGGGGCAACCTTGCAGTGGTATTCCCATTGGACAGATGAGGAGACCCAGGCCTCAGAGGCAAGGTATTTCTCCAAGGTCACACAGTGGGTGGGTGGGTGGGGCGTGGATTTGAATGTAGGCCTGAGACTGCAAAGGCCAGACCCTTTTCCCATGCACCATGTCATGGTGTTTGCCTGTAATTCACCTTACCACAGGGCATGTGCTATGTGTGATGTGTCCTGCTAGCTCCACTTAGTGCAGAGCCCTGTGCAGAATAGGGGCTCAGTAAACAGCAACGATGACAAAGAATCTAGGGTTTTTATGAGGATAAGCTCATCCAGGAACTGGTACTTGGTAGAAACTCAGTAGGTGCCCAATGAATGGTGTGTGAGCTGTGGTTTAGTTCTACCCTCTGTACCAGCCTTCACACTCCTCACCGACACAGGTGAAAACAGCCTCTCTCTGCTCTCACAGCCTCTCCTTTCCTAACCTTACACTCAGTGAGGAGGAAAATTCACCCCTGACCCTGGCATCTGGGTGGCCATCAATGGTTCAGTGTGTGAGGACAAAGGAAGCCCTGTGGAGGGCTCAGGGAGGAAGCGGCTCTCTCGGGAACTCTAGCCCTGCTCCCTCCACCCCCAGGCCCAACAGCCCCGGCCTGGGGGTGCAGGGGGTCCTTTCTTCTCCAGCCTCCTTCACAGGCCCCGGCTCAGCTACGCGCTTGCTCCCTGGCTGAGGCAGGACAAATCAGGAGCTTTGCTTTCTCGTAGCCTTGCTCCTTGAGATGCAGTTTATGTGAAGAACACAAACCTGAAACATCACTAGAAAGGAGAAAATGTGAAGACCGTACCAAATATGGGAACCAAAGGATTTCCTTAGGAGAGAGAACTGAGTTGGCAAGACAGTCTCCATTTGCTGAAAGATTAATGGGCTTGTGGAAACCCCTGGTTGTTGCTCTTCCATAAACAGTAAGCAACACACTAGCAAGGATGACCATGGGTCACCTGGAATCAATTCCAGACCCTTACCAGGGCCTTGTGGTTCTAGCACTTCTAACACCACCTGGGGTGTGGCCCGAATGACTTGCGTTTGCCAACCACCCTCCCCCAACAACCCGTATCTGCTGCTTCAACGTTCTGTGTTTGCCTGTTTTCAACTATGGAGTTCACTGAGGAGGCGGCAGGTTCTCTGAAAACCAAAATAACCCAGTGGCCAGGAGGTTTGGAAACAAAGGGCTCTCTGTGTTCAAAGGCAGTGGGAGCTGTCACAGCCTGGAGGGAGCAGAGCATCCGTTGGCTGGAAGGGGGCCTCTCCTCACAGACAGGAAATAGGCACTGTCGTGAGTCTGACCCCTCCACCTTAGAGCACCACTCACTGTATTCAAGGGTAACGAATCAACCTCAGAGAGATGGCAGAAACAACTCGGAGAGAAGTAAGATCTTTTCCTTATTTTTGAAGGTTTTGATTTATTCCTACGTAGGTATCTCAAATAAAAAGAAGGCACTAAATATGTATATACATTCACTACACTCATATTTATGCACATTTGGAGGTGAGAGACAAATAAATTCTAGTGGTTTTTGGTTAAAATCCAAGTATTTGGATTTCGGAGTTGTGGCTGGCTACTCGTTTCTTACCGTGACGACTGTGGATACAATGGCAAACCCCAGCAAACACTCCATATTTTCCCTTTCTGTGTCCAATTCTATGCTGAGGTCATAGGTATAGTCGTAATACAGCCACCATAAGACACCGCAGACAACTGGAAAACAAAACACCAGTGGGGCTCAGCACACATGGCATGAGGGAACCACCCCACAGAGGTGGCCCTGCTCAGGCAGTGGGGCTCAAATCCCCGGGGCTTTACAGGCAAAGACTGCCCCTCTGAAGGAGTTGGGCAGGGCCAGGGTGGCCCCCTGAGGACCCACCAGACCTGCAGTGGTTGGTTGTCTTTGGGAGATGCAGGAAGCTGACCCCAGAACACAGGTGTGTCCCGTCAGTCTAGCCCACAGGTTGGGTCTGGGTGTGAGGCAGGAGGAAATTGCACCAGGATGGTGAGAAGAACAATATTAGAGTCCAAAGTCTGAAATTTCCAAATGAGCTCTGTGGTGACAACTCCTGTGAGAGTCTGAATGTCGGCCTGGCAGCCACAACACCAGACGAATACTTTGACACTGCAAATGCTCTCCATTTAGCTACTAAATGCCACCTACGCCACATCCACAGTGACTACAGGAAGGTCAGAGTGGTCTTTATGTGGTAGATGAGGAAAGCGTCCCTCACAAGCCATGGTGCCTGTCCTTCAGCACAGGCATGCTGTGTACCTGGGCGCTGCAGGGCTCCAAGTTCTGAGGAGAACTGATTATTCAGGGGAATGAAACACTACGGTCACACCAATTATTAAAAATTAAAACACCTCACAGCAGTTGGTAAATAGCTGCTGCCTTGAGTTTCCTGCCTGTCCCTGCCTCTCAGACCCCTTTCCTGACAACCCCTGGATGGACTCACAATCCAGTAACACAAAGGGAACAGTGGGCACAGGAGAGCCTCCCCAGGACCCTGCCCCAGGTCAGGACCTGCGGCTTTTCAGACGGGGTGGAGTCTTTGAATGACAGTCGCGGGCACCCAGGTGCCAACGGGTGATGTGAAAGTTCAGAAGAAATCCTTTAAAATGCTTCCAACAGGCGTTGGAATTCTCTTTTAATGGTACGGATACCAGGACCACTTAACTGGCAGGCTCATCTCAGAGGGGGCATAACGTAGACGGGACAATAAGCTGGGCATCAACTCTGCAATTATCTATGAGGCCTAAGAAATCCTCTTTGTCCTCTCTGGGCCTGAGTCTTCTCATTTGTAAAATGACGGGGTTGGAGGAGAGACTCTCTGAGACCCCATTTAGCTCAAAAATGCCAACTTTTAAGTTCTACACTTAGTGGGAAGGCTTTTCATTTAATCAAAAAGAGATCAAGTAGAAATACTTACACAGCAATCCTAAAACAACCAGGGCTATGAAAATGTGAACGAGAAGGGTGGTAACGAATCGGAAGGTGAACATCACGGCCAGAGACAAGGCTGAAAAATTAAGCAAAATATATAAACCCAACAGCAACCAAGATGGGAGGGCAGTGACGGACTATACTGACTAACCCCTCCAGAAAAGGCAGGGCTGAGGACTTCCTTTAGTCTCTAAATATCTTGGGACGTCTACCAAACACCAGACAGAAACAGTAAGACACATCCAGGGCACTCTCTAAAGCAACACCAGTTCAGTCGGCTGCAGTAAGCCGGTCTCTGAAAGTGCTAGCATTCTACTTGAACTAAAAAAATTTTTTTAAGCAGGTATTATTCTCAAATATCCAAATCTTTTTTTTAAGTCCAAATGAACCATTTTTTTTTTTTTTTTTTTTTTTTACCATACTTAACTCTTTTGACTTCACACTGGGCTTACGTAAAGTTCTAACTTTAAATGTTCTCAGATACTAATATTGAAAAGGAAAGCTTAATGCCTTTAAAAATGAAAAATTTAAGATTCTAATCCTATGGTAAGCTATATGTGTAAAAAATCTGCCTATTATTTTCCAATATTTGGGTTTTTAAACTTATGGATTTATTCTAAGTATTTTAGTGAATCTATATATGCTATTTTATTTTCTTCTAAACAAGAAATCAGGATTACAGATAGATATTTTGGTGTAGTGGTTAAGAACTCGGTTTGGGAATCAGACAGATCTGGGCTGGGTCTCAGCTCTGCTGCTCACTCTGCTGGATGTGTGACCTTGGCCAAGGCTCTTAACCTCGCGAAGCCTCAGTTTCCTCTCCTACAAACGGTGATGGGATTCTGAGGGGGTTTCAATGAGTTAAGAGTAAGCACATTGCCTGGCACATTTGGGTCATAAGCAGTCTGGAAGTTGCATAATGGTGACTAGTTAAGCATGCCCAAGCATTCAGGAATTAGAAACTTTTTGGTAACAAAATTATGGAAAACTCAATTTGTAAAGTGGCAAAATTATGTTAACAGCTGACCAAAGAGGTTCTTTCAACCAAGAGGTAGGGAGGCAGCCACTGGGGAAGCGGGTAGATAACAGGCCGTTACAAGTGCCTAAAGCAGCAGAGTGTATTAACTTGTTCAAAGAGAAAGTGACTCTTAAAGGGGCTCATCAAGCTGAAACATAGAAAATGGGAAGTCAAGGGTCAAGAGTGGGTCTCTGCTTCTAGAAATGCCCGGAAGAGGCACATCCCAGCTCAAGCCTTGGACCTTCCTACAACCCAAAGCAGGCACATTCCTCGGAGGAGCTGGACACATCAGGCCGTTGCCATCTGATGCTATTTAACATGGATGCACATGTCTCCTTCCCTTGCTCACTGAGCAGCCTTCTGATCTGGCTTGCCTATAGGAAGAGGGTACACTGGCCAGAAGACGTGCGTTTCTGGTCCCCCTGACAGTTGTGCTTTTCATGGCCAGTTCACAAATTGGTGATCTGCTTTGCACACCCACCCTTACGTAGAGCCGAGGACCAGGCACTGGAACATGGTCACAATATTAAGGTGACCCACACCCAATGAGGTCTCCTGGCAGAGAGCCAGCTGGTCTTTCCCCATCTTATTGCCCCTTCCCCACTCAAACCTGAAATACTGAAAATATCCATAAAGAAAACATATGAAACGAAGTTTTATATTTAAGTCAAGAGGCTAATTTTCATTGTGCAACATACATAAATGCTAGAAGCTTTGGCATAAAGAGACACCGAAATAAAATTAACTGAACATTACCTAATGCGAGGATACACAGGCCAAGGATTGTGTCTCTTCCTGACATTATTCCACTTAGGATTCGATGAAGGGCGTCCACATCATTTATCAAAACAGAGGCAAACACGGAGTAGCACTCAGGCGTTTGAGGGATGCACCGGTTAAACAAAGGAAAAGGCTTGCTAAAAATAAGAGGACAAAGGGCAAAGAGATTCATTTAATTACTTCAATTACTTAAAATTATTAATTTATAATTTAAATATATTTAAATAAATATGTTTTATAATAAATTATTATTTAAAATTCTCAACATCCAAGAAAGCATAAGATCTGCAGTAATAAAAAGGGGTAGAGTATCCTGTTTGCAAAGTACTGTACATCTTAGAAAACTGCTCCTCTGCACGGCATACTGATTATGGGGTCCTGTAGAAACAAGATGCCTAAATTTGAGAGTGACAATTTTGACTCTCGTGTCTTGGGCCTTCCTTACACAAACTACAAATTCCAACACAAGAATCACATTTCTTTAAGGAACTGTTAGAAATATGCACTGGGTCAATCAGAAGCTGTATTAATGAAACTGCCAACTTTATTCTGTCCTTTTATTAAAAATTTTATTGGAGTCATATTGGCTTACAATGTGTAAATTTCAGGTGTACATTACTGTATTTCAGTTTCTGTATAGACTGCATCATGTTCACCACTAATAGTCTAGTTTTTATCTGTCGCTATACATATGTGCCCCTTTACCCTTTTCGCCTTTCCCCTAACCCCTCCTCCTCTGGTAACCATTAATCTGTTCTCTTTATCTATGTGTTTATCTTCCACATATGAGGGAAATCATATGGCATTTGTCTTTGCCCGTCTGACTTATTTTGCTCAGCATAATACCCTCAAGGTCCATAGATGTCGCAACTGGCACAATTTGGTCTTTTTTTATGGCTGAGTAGTCCATTGTGTGTGTGTGTGTGTGTGTGTGTGTGTGTGTGTGTGTGTGTGTATAACATCTTCTTTATCCATTCATCTGTAGAAGGACACTTAGGTTGCTTCTACATCTTGGCCATTGTGAATAATGCTGTGATGAACATAGGGATGCACAAATCTCTTTGAATTGTTGATTTCATGTTCTTTGGCTAAATACCCAGTAGCGGATTAGCTGGATCATATGGTATTTCTACTTTTAATTTTTTGAGAAGTCTCCTTACTGTTTTCCAAAGTGGCTGCACCAGTTTACATTCCCACCAGCAGTGTATGAGGGTTCTCTTTTCTCCACATCCTCTCCAACACTAGTCATTTCTTGTCTTGATAATTACAGCCATTCTGACAAGTCTGAGGTGATAGCTCATTGTAGTTTTGATTTGCATTTCCCTAATAATTAGTGACGTTGAACATCTTTTCATGTGCCTATTGGCCATCTGTATATCTTCTTTGGAAAAGTCTGTTTACATCCACTTCCCATTTTTTGATTGGGTTGTTCATTTTTTTCTTGTTGAGTTGTATGAGTTCTTTATACACTTTGGAAATTGACCCCTTGGTGGATATATGATTTGCATCAGATTAAAAAACTTCTACATGGCAAAGGGAACCGCCAACAAAATGAAAAGACTACCCACCAACTGGGAGAAAATATTTGCAAATCATATATTCTGTCCTTTTTAAGAAGATGTCTAAGGTTTGCGAGCCTTGCTACAAACAGAGTGAATGCTTAATAAACGGGGGATAAATGTATGAATGAAGTGTGGTTGACAACTGCCCTGGGCAGATGAGAAAACTGACCCTTTTTGGGCTCCTTCCTGAACTGCAAGAATGCCCAGGAATGTTCACCCTAATGACTCTTAATGAGGCCACAAAGAATTTCACAGATCCTACTCTTCTTCCTTTCCATGGGCTCCAAACAGTGGAAATAATCTCAACCCAAGAAGTGCCAAATTATCTGACAAGTTGCTAAAACATTAGGCAGTCACCAAGCATTTTGTGGAATGTGTGAAGATAAAACAAGGGAGAACCTAAATGCAAACAATATTACATTTCCGTGAAGAAAAAATGACTTCCAAAACTCCACTGAAGCACAACATAGAACATATGGAAGAATCTTTCTCAGGAAGACACAGCATTACAGAAATAGTTCCTGAGTCATCGAACAGTGATTCAAAAGAAGGGTAATACAACTAAGCAGTTGGGTTTTTGTAATTAAAAATTTTTAAGTGTGATACATTCACACGGCTCAAATTCCAAAAGGTACAATAGAATAAACTGTAAGAAATTGCCCTTTCGTCTCCTCGAGCCACCAAAGTACATTTCCTCACAGGCCACCATTGTTTGGTTTCTTGTATATCGTTCTAGAGACATTTTTTAGCACATGTGAACGTAACTGAGAATTTAAATGGAAGTTTGCAGCTGAGGCAAAAATATAATAAAAATTATACTCCAAAACAAGATGCTAGAACCCACCACACAGGGCTTATCAAAAGAGAGGTGCAGAGAACTGGTTAGATTATTCTTAAACCCCTCACCCACACTGAGAGTATAAAAGGGTTGGGAATTGGAGATCAGAACATTTTAAAAAATACGCTTTTTTTTTTAAAGATTGGCACCTGAACTAACATCTGTTTCTAATCTTCTTATTTTTTTCTTCTTCTCCCCAAAGCCCCCCAGTACATAGCTGTATATTTTAGATGTGGGTCCTTCTGGTTGTGTCATGTGGGATGCTGCCTCAGCATGGTCTAAGGAGTGGTGCCATGTCCGCACCCAGGATCCGAACTGGCAAAACCCTGGGCCGCCAAAGCGGAGCACCTGAACCTAACCGCTCAGCCCCGGGGCTGGCCTGCAAAAATAAACTTTTAATTTTGGAATAATTTTTGAGTTGCAGAAAAATTCCAAAGGTGTTACAGAGAGTTCTTGTATACCCATCACTCACCTTCCTCTAAGGTTCCCATCTTACGTAACTACAGAACATTGGTGAAAATTAAGAAATTAACATTGGTACTGCACCATTAACTAACCCACAGCCTTTACTTGGATTTCACCATTTCCCACTGACGTCCTTTTCTGTTCCCACATTGCATTTAGTTGTCAGATCTCCTTTGGTCTGTGACAGTTTTAGTTTTTCCTTATGTCCCATCTTTAGCTTACAGTATCCAATCACATAGCTGTTTTCCAGGGTTACTTAGGTCAGCTCTTGTTCTCGCTGTTCCCTTCAGTGAGGTTATGTTGTACATCTGTAAGAGTTAGATTCATTTGTCATAGTCTACATTCTATCCTGAGATCTCAACACTGGTTGATTTTATTTTTAATTTGGATATAGTAAAGTTCACTCTGTATAGGAGGTGACAAGCACACAGAATCACATAGAAGAGCAATTCTGAAGTTTCCCTTTTTTTGAAAGAGAGAGAATTGTTACGTGATTCCATCCCTGTCCCCAAGGGGAAGAGGGTGAGGGATGCTACTCCTGAGTCCGATGAGAAGGGTCTCATGGGAAAAACTAGACTCACTGAATAAATTCAAAGAGACAGAAAGATAAAAATAAAGTTGCCTTCTGACTATATGCTAAAGGTCATGTTTGTTTGATGTATATTTACATACATGTGTATGACATAAACGTATATATATATTTACTTGTACAACCATTATATACACTTACATATACATATATTCACTTATATGTATATAATCCCATAAGTCACACTGATATTTCCTTTTTATGCAAAAGATAGTACACTACATACTGCTTTATAGTTTGTTTTTTTAACATAATACATCTTGCAGCCCTGTTCATTTCAGAATGTAAGGGATTCCTATTATTTTTACTGAGGTAAAATGTACATACAGTGAAACATGTATGTAAATGTGTTAAACATATAATTAATGACTTTTGACAAATATATATGTCCATGTAACCACAACCCCTTTCAAGGTACAGAATATTTCTATACCCCAGAAAGTTCCCTCATGCCCCCTTGCAATCAATCTCCATCCCTTTATAGGCACTAGTGATCTGATTTCTATACTATAAATTAGTTTCACTCTTGCACAATTCCATTTAAATGGAATTACATAGTACGTACTCTTGTGTCCAGCTTCTTTCACTGAGCTGTTTCATGTACCAGCATATCATTTATTTTAATTGCTGAGTGCTATTCCACTGCATGAATATACCTCCATTTGGTTATCTATTGTCCTGTCTATTGCCATTGGAGTCGTTTCCAGTTTTGGGCTATTAAAAATAAGCTGCTATTGGAGTGACAGCAGCAGCACGGCAGAGAGAGCTTTCCTGGTAATCTCTCCTTTCCACCATACAATGAAAAAGACATTCATACTCCAACAGAGGACATCCAAACACAACACAAAAGACATCTGAGAGACCACGCAGCCATATGATGTTGGGCAGAGAGGCTGGAGTCCTGCTTGGAGGAGGTAGAACTGGGTAAGAGAAAACTTCACTCCCTCCCCAAAAGACTGGGATCCAGGACTGCAGGCCACTTCTGAGAGGAAAGGAACAGGGGAGGGGATGTTCATTTGCTAGAATGTCAAAGATCCCCAAGGGCCCTGACAGCCTAGAGGGAAGCCCCCTATCAGGGTGAAAGCTGTCATAGGGGGTGACCTCATCAAGCCAACACCCCAGGAGAGCAGATAGAGCAGAGCGAGAAAACCCCAAGAGCACACAGGAGAAAGGACCCCTCTCCCCACCCACCCAGCCCTGGATCTAGTCCCTGGGATCTTGGCAGAATGCAGAGGGCTCAGAATCCATGGCTCTTGACCCCTACTCAGTGGTGACAGACAGTAACTGAGACCAAATAATACCATGATGTGCAAAAACAGAGCCACACCCTCCAGCAGTATCAAAAATTATATTAAATCTCCAGACCAGAGAAAAAAGGACAAGTACCCAGAAATCAGTCCTTTGGACACCGAAATATGTAATCTAAATGACAGAGAATTCAAAATAGCTATCATCAAAAAACTCAAGTTAAAAGAGAATGTAGAGAAACAATTCAACAAGTTCAGGAGCTACTTCACAAAAGAGATTGAAACTATAAAGAAGAATCAATCAGAAATATTGAGGGTGAAAGACACAACGGATAAGATAAAACAAAATATGGATCTCCTGAATGATTGAGCAGACATCATAGAGGAGCGAATCAGCATAATTGAGGATAGACATGTTGAAATGCTCCAGATAGAG